CCGGCTTGGCCCCTGGGGGTGTGCCTGGCACCCTGCCCTGCCCCTGCCCTTTACCTGCCCGTCGGTGGAAGCGGAGAAGCACTCAGTGCCTGTTTTGGACTGCAGCCAGATGGTTCCGTACACGGGATCCCTGTGGCCCAACTCCACGGTGGACACCTCCACAGGCAGCTCCCCTTTCCTGGTGTCCCAGTAAGCTGGGAAGGAAAAGGAGCTGTCAAGATCTGCACCAGCTCCCTTTGCTTGCCATGTGTTCCCTGAGGAGATGCTGCCCCACTGGTCAAGCCAGAATGGGAAGCAAACCTCACTGGGTGCTCCCCCTGCAATTCCCAGCTCCAGAAGAACCAGACACGTGCCCCTGTTCTCCACACACCAAGCCCCAGGGCTTCAGGATGTTCCCAGTCACAGCACTAATGACATTACATCCTCTATGAGTGCTGGAACCAGGCTCTTGCTGAATTAAAACAAGCCCTCGTTAGGATGTTCTCCCACCTAATCCAGCTTCCTTACCTATCTGCCCGTTGTAGCATCCTCCCACCAGGATGTGTGAGTCTTTGGGGTTGTACTCCAGGGTCATGAGAGGGGATGATGGCTTGAGAACGAGCTCTGGCTTGTGGGGATTTTCTGCCAAGAAGTGATGAGTAAAAAAATAAATAAATTGTAAGGGCAGTGTGGAGGGTGAGCACCAGCCCCCCGACATCCCACCTCGCTCCTCCACGCCTGGCTCCCTCCATGCATGAGGTGCCCATGTCACCAGGATGCCTCACCTTAGCCAGGGAAGGGACCTGACCTGTCCTTGCTTTCCAGCCCAGGGACAGTACCCCAACCCCTCCTCTTTGTGTTTTTCACTCCAAAATACAACAGGTCTGAGAGAATCTTTGACAAAACAGGGTAATTCTCAGCCTGGGCTTCTTGTGCTGCCTCTTTCTGTCTGAACAAGCCCATGTGAAGGGTATAAACACAAGAACCACATAAGAGGAGTGTGGCTCAGCTTCCTGTTGCGGTCGCGGGCGCTCTGGCTCACACAGTCATGCCCTGGGATTTTAGTGGTTATTTTCCACCTGTTGCACAACTTTCAGGTCCCATTTCTCCCTTTCTCTGCATTGATCTGTGGGCAAAGCAGAAACCGAGCCCCCTGCTCACCCCCTCCAGAGCCCTGCAGGGATTCATTACATGCTTTGAAGACTCAAAGTGCTTCCGTAGCAGCAGCATTACTGACCGGGGAGTTTTTCCTTCCCCTTACCAAGATCCCAGATGAACGAGTCAAAGCTCATGTCTTTCATGTTGTGCTGGAACTCCAGGCTGGAGTAAGCCACTGCCAGTTTCTTGCAGGTATCAGGGTGCCAGGAGAGATGTGTGGCCGTCCTCTTGGTGATGTTTGGATCCCTTTTTGATAACAAGACATCAAGGAAAGGTGTGAGTGAGTTTGCTGCCAGGGCTGTCACGCCCTGGGATGATTGTCTTCCACAGGCAATTGTGGGAATCACAATTAAAACAAGCACCAGCCCTTGAGTATTGAGCACAGGAAATGATTCTGCTGAGGGCTGGGTGGTGGGAGAGGAGTTGATGATTTAATAAAGTCTTTCCAGTTATACATTTCTAAGAATCCAATTATGTTACTGGATCTGATTTCTAGAAATGACCTAACAGCCCCTGACATTGGAAAATAATTGAGGCACCAACAAACCCAAACCCATAGATCCTGTCTAAAGCGCTGTTGGGGATGCTCAGAGCTGTGTCTGCTCTTGGTGCCTGTCTCCACAGCGCCTGGGCAGGGAGGGGAGGAACAGAGGCAGTTATGGAGCAGGGGGGCTGCTGCCTGTCTCTCCATCCATAACCTGATCCAGCACTACCCTAAAGCCACTGGGATTTCCAGCTCCTCTGTCTACACGGGCAGTTTACCATCAGTGGATGGAGGGAGCCTGGTGAGCCCAGCTGGTTGTGCTACCTGATGATGTTGATGGTTTTTGCGGAGGGAGGCTCGTCTTCCACCTCTGCCATCTCCTCCTCTCCAAAGTATTCCTCGTAGATGTCGATGGCGTTGTTCTGCATGACGCAGTGCCCCATCAGCTGCAGGGAGAGCACAGGTTGGGGCTGGAGGGGACTCAGGGAGCTGGGGGGTGAGGGGAGGGGACAGGCAGGGCCTTACAGCGCCGAGGCGGATGATGGTGTTGACGTATTTCTCTTCTTTCTCCACTTTCTTGCGGAAGCGGCCGGTTTGTTCCATATCTTGGGGGTTGATGTCTTTGGGCCAGCCGCCCTCTACGTGGTTAAGGCCGTGGGATTTCACCTCCACTCGCTCCGTGTTGACCTGGGGAAGGGTGACAAGGAGGAAACACCGAGTCCAATGGGTGACAAACCCACTTTTATC